CCCAGTGCGGATTGGTGGGTGCTAACGAGCACAGATGCAGCCGGGACCAACGGCTTAACGTGCCTTCCGAAGCACGGAATCATATCATTAAGATGAGACAATGAGTACTGAGAATGAAATGAAACCAAGCTCGATGGGATTGAGGCTTAATCATGTACAAGCAGAACTGTGCTTCTTGTCAGAGTTCTTGTTAAGACAATTAAGCGAGACCAAACTCGATGAGATTTCGTTGTCTTATAAGAGTTCCTGTGGCCACTTTCCAGCTGCATCGCCAGTAAATTTTCTTGAAGATTTACATATTATTATGCCTTTAAGAGGATCAAATTTTACTTGCAAAATTTGTTTACTTACCGATAAACAGACAGCCGTACAGACACCGGTACAGGTGAGGCTAAATAAAAACTTGTGAAAATAATTCGCCCAAATAAGATGTATTTTTCTTCAGATTAAATTAGTAGTTACTTGAAGCTTACAGCTTAAATAATAAGATTTCCCACTTTTTGTTTTTTTTCATATTTATTAGTAAAGAAATAAATAAACAATAAGTGTAGTGCGAAAGGGACCATATCAAGACTGAACCAGCGGACCTACTTGCCAGATTAATTAATTAATTTTACTAATTAATAGTTAACGTAAATGTCAACGTAAACAGTGATATTGACGTCCTTTTTAATCGGGAGTAACGTGGTTTATAAAAAGATTGGCTTCATTTTGTCTCCATCTCGTAGGTGGGTTCGATTTCTAGTTGGGTCAACGAAGAAAACTTTTTTTTATAATCACAGTTATGAGTGTATCTTACTTATATCCATGAAAAAAGCTCATAAACCGTAGCCGGTAGAAAGGTAGAACTTTATATATTATAGCTGACCCAGCGAACTTCGTACCGCCCTAAAAAAATAGGGGTTGTCCAGCGGACAAAATTGTGAATCTAAACCATTCTCAGATCCCCTTGAACACACACAAAAAATTTCATCAAAATCGGTCCAGTCGTTTAAGAGAAGTTCAGTGACATACACACTCACAGAAGAATTATATATATAAAGATTATTTTTTAAGCCTTTAACTACTAATTGTTTAACTTTAAAGAAAATGTTACTAGAAGAAATTCCACTCGGTCCAGGCTTCAGACGGGATTCAAACCCGCATCTTTGTGGACACACTAACCAGTTATGCTACATACCGTGACCTTAATGGCCGTTTCGAATTTCCGTTCGGATAGCGGATTTCTTCTAGTAACATTTTCTTTAACTTTATTGAATGTTTATATCTATTGCGGGTTTTATAAAAAATATTAAATAAAGGCTTTATATAAAAGGGGTCACCTCACACCATAAATATAACGTTACCACGGGATATGCTCAAACGAGTGTTTGAGGAAAAAACCACTCGGTAACGCAAACGATGTATTGCAAATGTTATTATAACCTTCTACGATGCTAGAGACTGCATCATCCCTCTCTTCTTCATCATCCTCTTCTCAGGGGATGATCGCTTCAGATGAAGCTTTTAAGACCATTCCGGCCATAAGCATGAACTACGGGTGCATTTTAGTCATTAGGTGTCTGACATAACGTTGCAGCCGGCTGTAGGGTATCCATGAGGATTTCACACCAGCTCCTCCGGGAGGATACAAAAAAAATGCTAGAGAACTCTTTCTCTCCCAGTCTGAATCGCACTTGGACGGTTTTAATAAGTCATGATGTTGGCCAATATTCCTTTTATTTAAATAATCTATGAAGCTTCTAATACAATTATTTTCTTAATTCAATTCTTCTAATTCAACCAAAAGTAGATATTAAACATAAAATTATTTGATACAAAAGTACTACTGCATATTTTTGAATTCTCAAATATTGTTATCTCAAAGAAAATTTAACATTAAGGCACTAGGTATTGGTCAACATTTTCTAATAAGATATCCAAATAGAGTTTCGGAACCTTTGGTAACACATTTTATTGAACTCAATTTTAACTTTGATTGTATAAAACCTGAAAAAAGATTATTAGAGGATTAACAGACTATAAAACATATAAAAGCTAAAGCTGAAACAATCACAGATAACTTTATTTATATGTTGTTAGATACTTCCAAGCCTTATCAATATATCATCTATGAGTAGAAGGAACTATGGAATAGAAGGAACTTTTTAATTATTCCACTTATAAATAAAAAGTGTGTTTGTTGAAAAAGTGTAGAATGTCAGACACAGACAATTATTTATAAATTAGATAAATAATTCTGTGTGTCTGACATTTTATATTTAAAAAAAACTTAAAAATTTCTTTCAGCATGATTAATGTTTACTTTTTGATTTACATAGAAATAATAAAATTACAAAAGCTTCAACATGATTGAGTATTAACATAGGTAATATGATAATACGTAATTAAGTAACGTATGTTTTTCTTTATTTTCTCGTTTGTTTAAACCAATATATGATAGCCTGTAATTGATCCGGATCATCAAGACTCGGTGATAATGAAAGAAAAAAGTTAGTAAAACTCATGTTATAAAGCGCAGGAAAACGAAAATATATTAAAATAATTTTCTAATTTCCTTTTTTTATTCCACACAAAAGAGCAGAAAGGACCAATGAGATATTTTTGTACATAAAATGGTCATTAAAAGTTGCTATAAATTAATATCTTGTTTTCTCAAATTCAATAAAAACCGAAGACACTGCAAAAAACAATCTGGCCATGACCAGCGAACGTGCTTCACGGTTAAGATTTCATCTTACCACTCGATTTGGTGTAGATTACACGACATAGCCGCGCAGTCGCATATTTTATTTCAGCTAAAGAGCAATTAAATGATTACAGTTACAATGATTCTCTCAGTGATTGAAACCAATACCAATTTTAATTAACCACACGAAATGGAAACCAATCTTAACCCCTTTTTAATATGCTAGAGTAACATTTGACGATTTAGTGATCACACAACTCCGTCCACACCCTCGGGGAATACGGGCGTGAATTTACCTTTAAACACACAAATTTTTATTTCAGATGAGAATACTTTTAAGAAGGTCTTCTCGTAAATTACCACGTATAATTATTGTTTGATAATTCGTCAAATCGCCAATAACTAACTACCTATTTCATTTCATTTCGTCGCTTGCGTCAAAAATCGACCATTCTCCCATCGCCACATGCACAGCAGTGGTTGTCTGCGTCATTATGAAAATAAGCAAGATGCAATGGCATAAATGTTCGGCGTTACGGTGGGTCGTCAGATCTATTAATTGCTTCGCGGCTTATATTCTAAGATAGAATCGGTAGAACTCTAAAGACATTTATTTCATTGAATACGGCCACTGTTCATGAGTAATCTAAGATTGGGGTAGCACTTGCTTCTACTGGAATAACAGCCATATTGTTAGAAAAAAAATGTAGATAGATAAAGGTGTTTCGGGGGGCGGACTGATTTTACTGTCTTAGGATTTCCGCCGAAGGACTTGCCTCTATAATCAATTCGTAGCGCCATATAATGAATTTTCAGCTGGCAGAAACTAAGTATGACAGTTACATTGCTAAACGATCAATGTACAGAAGGTTCCTCCAAACAATTGCTAATTATGGTAAAAGTTATGTTCCTGTCGAACGGATAGCTTTCATTTCTTTTAAATTATTTTAAGCGGTACGAATAAGAAAATAATTGTTTTATAAATATCTCTACAGTGGGTCCTTTTAGGAACTTAGGTATTTGGCCCATCATAAAAACAACAATTTATAAACTCCATCAAAACAGAAAAATATGTAGGTATGTATGTTTGAAATTTAACCTATCATATAATTTTATTTTATTACAAAATCAGCCTATAACAATATTGTTTTTGGTAGTAAATTGTACGGTGGGCCATCATAGGGTTAGCGAAATTAAATTTACTTATAAATTAAAAGTTTTGAAATAAAAACATTTTCTGCCATTATTGTAACGATCATCGAACAATGTTTGGTAAATTGCAAAAATTCACATTTTGAAATACATTTTCCTTAAAATATTTACTAATTCGACTAAACGTACTGAAGATGAAACGTACTAATAAGACGATTTTTGTACATAAAATGGCAACTTAAGAAACAATAATATTTTATAGTTTTTAAAGGCCCCGGCAATCTTTGGAACCCAACTTTGCCCCGTAACAAGAACTACTTGTGTAAATGAAGATTAATAAATAATACAAACAACGCTTAACTTCTCAGGATCACCCACAAATCTACATCACTTTGTATAAAAAAAGCCTGAGAAAACGTGCGTGTCGTGAAACACTCGGTTGGAACGAAGTTAAAAATAAACCTAAGTATAAGTTAACCTAAGTTAATTAGACTAATAGTTACTTAAAAGTGAAATGATGAGTAAATGATTACTATTATTAAATGATTATTATTATTAGTATACACAACTACACGCAAAACGCTACGAAACAACTTACAGTCGTAATTTTTTTTTATATTTTAAGCTTTTAACTGCTAGTGTTAAAATCAAAATAAAATTTTACGAGAAAAAAATCCACGCGGTCGTAATAACGAACGTTCTTCAACACATTTGCGAGAGAACAGTCCCTACTTATATCTCATTTAGGTAATGAATGTATACAACCTTCGTAAATGCATTTTTTGAGCAAATGTATTGAAAACTATAATATGTATTACTGAGTTTGATGATGTTTAGCGTGCGCGGATGAAACTGTTTCTTCTGGCACATTTTTGAGGGGCCATAGGGTTTGGTTTTTCGATATTTATGAACTATACCTACCTACCGAGTTAATAGTCGGTTACTAAATATTGGACCTTGAACAGGGACAAAGCCAAATCAAGATCAAGAATACTAACAAGGGAACAACTAACAATGAAACATGTTATACAAAGGACGTATTGCTTACTTTATATAAAAAATATGAACAAAAACAATAACAACTCCAACTCTTAAAACTATTTTGTAACAACAATTGTCAGTAAACATATTATCATAATGTTTAATGTTTGCCGTGGTGATGGCCCCAATGCTTGTGGTGTTCGTGTTCTCCCTTCTTGCCGTGGTCGTGGTGGCCGTGGTGGTGTTCTTCGTGTCCGTGGTGTCCCTTGTGGTCGTGGTGGTGCTCGTCGTGGTGTCCCTTGTCGTGGTGTCCGTGATGGCCGTGGTGGCCCTCGTGGTGACCGGAGTGATGGTGGCCGCCCTTCTTGTGGTGCCCTTCGTGCTTGTGGTGGTGTCCGTGGTGGTCGTGGTGCTTGTGGTGCTTGCCCTCGTGGTGGTGGCCGTCGTGGAAGTGGTGGTCCTTGTGGAAGTGGTCCTTGTGGTGCTTCTTGTGGTAGCCGTCGACGTGTTCACCCTTGTCGTGGTGCTCGTGGTGGCCGTGCTTGCCGCCCTTGTGGTGGTGGCCGTGCTCGTGGTGTTCACCATGATGGTCATGCTCGTCCCAATGCTTCTTGTGACCGCCTCCGTGTTCATGATGGTGATCCTCATGATGATGTTTGCCGTGATGCCCCTCATCACCTTTGTGGTGGTGGTGATGGTGATGGTGGCCCTTGTGTCCCTTGCCACCATGGTCGTGATGATGGTGGGCATGGTGCTCGTGACCGCCACCGTGCTCGTGGTGATGGCCCTTGTGGGCGATGGCGAGCGCCGCCAGGCAAAGCACTCCTATCAACAGGAGTGCCCTCATTTTTCCACGGTATGTGTTTAAAGATAGGAAGTTCGGTTGTAACTGACCTCTGAATCGTTGATTGCCTATTTATATTAGCTACTTGGTTGTTGGTGCACCGACCACGATGATGGAGAAATTGTTCCGCAAGCGACAATCCGCACTAGTTCATGGACAAACTAAAAGAAATATCTAAACATCGTTTTGAACATGCTTTGCGTGGGGTCATTAATAGGTTCTAGGATTTTGTTTTTAGTAAAATGTACCTACCTTGAGGTCTTAGGATTTATAACTGTTAATTTATTTGTAAGCCTGAAAAGATTTATTTATTTTTCAATGGTAACGATGCTTTTGCTCTATGTATGTTAAAGGCAAAGAATAATTAAATGAAAGTGTAGATACTTAGTCTGTCCTTTAAAGTCATTTACCTTAATGTAAATAAAGCGACGTGGTTAACATTTAGTAAGTAGGTAAATTACTCAGAAATGGGTGAGAATAAAATAGAACTTCTAACAATCACGTTTAGGTACCCACACATCCTTAGGTAAGTAAATAATATCTATAAATTGTTATGTTCAGTAAGATTTCATTCAACAGAACACTTGATTGACAGCTTATAGGTTTGGATATATCCAAATTATCTGCTTAGTGAATCGCTTGTTTAGAAACGCCGCTATTTGGATAGCGTTAACAAATTCTTCCGAACGAGTGAGCACACTTAATCCAAGCCCTTGTACGATCATTTTAACTACACCCTACTTCTTGCTCCATCCGTACCTATATAATGTATCTCTGTTTGGTTTAACTGACTGATTATTTACGCTTATAAGTTCATCACGGCTTTGTATAAAGCTCTATTCACGCAGTATTCTTCTATAATTCTTCGAACGTAGTTTTTGTTAAAGAAGGTTTTTAGGATGGTTTCAGTTATTTTTTTAACAATATATCAAGCGGTAACATTATAGAGAAATTGTACCTATATTTGTGGATAAGAACTTAATAAAACTGCAAAAGCCATTTCAACTCAATTTTTTGTCTTAATTGAAATGTGAAAAGTACTTCCCTTCTATGCCTCCTTGCCAAGCCTATTTGTTATAAAGTTTATGGGTGTATTCCGAAATATAAATCAGTATACTGGTCAGTGGTATACGTCACGAATCCGACGCCATATTGTACTGGTATACTACCATATTTTTACCGGGAAAACGAATTTGACGTATGACCGAGCGTGCGTGAGATGCATTCGATTTTTTTTTCTTTTCTTTTTAAAGAACGATAATGGCATCCGAACTAAAAGAATTCCATTTAATTGACGAGGTGAATAAAAAATCTTCTTAATTCGCACTATTTTTAATATTTCGTCGATTTATGACGTCAGTGTACTGGCCAGTATATTTCGGAACAATTCAACAGTATAGCGTCGATTCATGACGTCATTAGCACTGGCATATATTACGGAATACACCCTATGTTAGCAATATGTAAATAGATAGGTACTTAATTTAACTACTTATAATAACATCAGAAAATATAAAATAAAAAAAAGAACTGGTATAGTTTTTAAACGTAAGGTCACTCAGTGGTTACAAATAAATATAAAGTTTACTATAACGTTAGAGAATACATAATATTTATCAGAAAACTTAACGAAATAATCAGCGTACTGAAATATTAGCACACCTCATTGCGAGTAGAATACACATGGCACTTTTTTACCATGCAACACCTTGGGCACTGTATACTGGAAAATGAATTGCAATATTGTTTAGTCACGTATACTTATATATTTACACGAGTTAGGTATGTATTAGAATGATTACTAAATATTTATTGTCTTTACGAAACAACCTAATATTTAGCTTTAGGAACATTAACCTCAGGGCAAATACAGAAACAAAACTTGGTAATTTTTTGAGTCTACTTAAAATGTTTACTGGCTGTCATCAAGCTCACAAGCAGCTGTTCTTTGTTTAATTCCATCAAACAACGGAAGAAACGTGTAAAAAGTAATTTGATTAATACAAGATGCTCTATTCATCAATCCAAATATTTGATTTTTTTTCTGCATTTTGAGTGTGGAAATGAGTTAAGTTGGTGTCGGGAAATTGGATTTAGATCGGCAAGTTTAGGGTGAAAATTTTACTAGAAAACTGTCTCCTAATTAACAGGTTAAATAAATCTTGCAGATAAAGGCTAAAAAATAAATGTTTAATAAGGTTGGCATGGTTAGGGCGGAACATATCTGACGCATCTATCATTGGCGTCGAAGCACACCTCAGTAATTCCTTAATCTCAGGTACCTATTATAGTGGGAAGATTTAGATCATAATGAGTCGTCTTTGTCAACAAGAAACCCTTATAGTTTCGATGTGTCCGTTCATCCTCAGCTTAGCTCAAATACTTATACACAGTACAAAATGGTAAAGTAATATAGTGAAAAGAAAATTGGGATGTCATTTTCTTAAAAATCGTTCGTCGAGTGGGGTGTCGTTGGATAAGCCTTTGAAATTTTTGTGAAGACAACTATTCGCTTAATTGATTAGATTATGAATTACTAGGCTGTGAAGTGCAATTTTCAATTCAGAGTTAAGTACAGCCCGTACTTGACTCTGAAATCGTGCAGGCGAAATAGTCGATTCTGGTTATTTACAAAAAGAGCACGTTACTAGGTAGTATATATGTATGATGACAATAAAAGGATACTTAAAAACTAAAGGAATAAAAGGAACTAAGTTGAATTACAAAAAGAGAAGTTAAAGTTTCTCTCAAATTCTATTGAAATTAACTAACAACTAACGTTGTTAGTTGTGTAAAACAGATACAAAAGTTTATATTTATGAACCGTTTTTAAAATATACAAAAAAATAAAATAATTCTCAATAATAATAACTTATATTGAATGTTCGACGTTCGAATAAAGTATTGGATTAAGGATTTTTTGGCATTAACAATTCAACCATAAGTCTATAAACATGCACTCGATATGGTTGGAAATAAGTTCACGATCGTCACGGTCTGTCAGATCTTTTCTAAAGGCTCGCTTTCGACAGGCCGAGGTTCTCAAGGTCAGCTCTAAATGCTTTCGCTTGTCTGTGCCAGGGTTTGGTTGCGTCCGCTTGTATTAGATAATAATGGATTTCATATTAGTAAGAGCGCGCGCGATTTGAAGGTTATTAGAAAATTGCTCAGAAGCAGTTTTCACATAATTAGGTGTCGACTGAATTGGCAACGATCGAGACTCCCTCCGTGGAGAGATGCCATACCATCCGCCTGGAATACCTCTAGAGGCACTTGCCTATTCACGGCTTGAGGTCCCCTAAGGATCTCGCCGTCCCAAACCCGGTGATACTGTAAAGGTCATCTGCGACCTACGGAATACACACTCAAAAAAAAAAACGACGGGTTGCACTCCGGGAGTGCCGGCAGAAGTGAAACGTTGTGCATTTTTGATATTTTGGAATGGTTAGGGTATAATTTTGAAGTTTGATTTTTTTACAGCTCCGAGGGACAGTAGTAGTTGATATAAATTTCAGCCTGATACCTCCACGCGTTCCTGAGAAAAGAGCTCTTGACAGACGGACGGACGGACAAAAAAGTGATCCTATAAGGGTTCCGTTCTTTCCTTTCGAGGTACGGAACCCTAAAATGGGTAATATTTTTCCGTCACGACCTCGTAGCATATTGTGTGTAGCTGTGTACTTAGGTATACTTCTGTTTATTTTTAACTTCGTTCAAACCAAATGTTCCTCGGCACTCACGTTTGCTTTCATTTGTATATTACATGCTAGTTAGGTACATAATAATAATAATATTTTCAGCACTCACACCAATTAGCCTAGCCCCAAAGTAAGCACTGTAGCCTTCTGTTATGGAATACTAAGGTAGCGGATAGAATACATATATACTGATACATATATTAGTATATTTATATAGAAATACATATTAAACATCCATGACTGGAGTACAAATGCTCGTATTCATCACACAAACATCTGCCCCCACCGGGATTCGAACCCGGGACCTCTCGAGTAGGCGACACCTTGAAACCCGGCGTACAAACCCCTCTGAATACATTTAAACATTACCGCTATACAAGCGTAAAGGATATTAAATTACTGTTGAAGTTCACCTTTATACCAACTCTTGCTTACATGAAGAAATTTAGCAGAACGAAGAAGCTGCATGAAACCCGGCGTACAAACCACTCGGCCAAGGAGGTCGTCAAATAAATTACAATAATTCTACCCGATAGGTGGCACTGTCGTCGGGTTTTAGATTTTTTTATATTTTTATCAGACAGGACAACATCTGTGGAGTCCGTTAGTTTTAAATATTTTAATGTCTCTGGCTTATTCAGATTATCTACTAATGTTCAGGATTTTTTCCGTGTCATAACACTCGCTCTATTTCTAAGGGTCAGCTCACACCGAGACGCGACAGGTGCAATGCGGCGAGTGAACGTTGTGAAATACCGTTAAAAAAATCGTTTACCTACAACACAAAAAGATCCAGGGACACATATTTCATTGCAAAGCGTAGCACGGCGCTGCAGGGCTTTTTCGAATTATCTAAATAAGTTATGTAACTTTTTTGTAGTACCTAAATATAGTAGATACTAATTTGTATCGCTTTGGTATCGCTATCTTAAAGTGTGCGCGCACCTCATTGCATTTTGATCTGTGTACTGGCCCTGATTAATTATTTTGTCATTACTCCACTCGTACAACGGTCGCATTTCAATATTCACGAAAGTAGGTATTAAAAAAGGGCTTTGACAAACGTCATCTCCCTTACTCCCTACGCCCTAACAATCGGATAGTTAAATAGCTGTTAGACAGTAACGGAGCTCAGTCGACGCCCTGAGAGCGTATAGTATGGACGTTTTTGTAGGTGAATTAGTTTATTGGCGCGGTGACATCTAATGAAGAGAAATAAGTGTTACTTAATTTTAATTGAGAGCTATATTTATTGTGGCACAAAGAAATCAAAAATATTTAAATAAGGCACTAATTTTAATTAAGATCTATATTTTTTGTGGCAAAAAGTATTTAAATAAGACACATATTTTAATTGAGATCTATATTATATGTGGCAAAAAGAAATCAAAATGTATTTAAATAAGGCACATATTTTTATCATGAGCAAAAATAGTAATTGATCATCAAAACAATTAGGTTACCAACTGTATTAAATAAAGAGAGATTTTATTTTATGTTCATTTACGTATTTCCCTTTAAATAAAGAGAGAAGTGACGAAGGATTCAGAGAAGTTTATAAAAAAAATATCAGAATGCATCTGGTGCTATAACGACTACGTTCAACCGAGACGACTTTTATTTTCAGACTGAGTTAGGGTCCGAATGATAGGGCGGTTTAATAGTTGCTACCCTAGTTAGGGGACACGCCCACCCTTTCGGTAGGGCACTAAAAATTGGGTAGTGTAATAGCCGTTTCACTCTCGTTCACATTACCCATCACATTACCATCGTATGACCCAAAAATCCGCCAATGTAACTGAGCCCTTTATTACCTACCTACGTCATCCTGCCACATAACTTAACGTGCCCATGGTGCTTATTTATGAAAATGCGTTTCTAGTTACTTTCGATCCTACTTATTATACTCAGGGGGGTGGATTTGCATCTACACATACTATAAACCAATATAAACACCGTCCAATTTAGCAAAATTGCTCATAAAATTAAAATACTGGGTCTTATTAAATATTTTTTATGTGATCAAATGGCAATGGCATTCTCTATCAAACAAAAAAATAATTACTCAAATCAAGTCAGAAATCCTTAAAGAATAAACAAAGTATTGTGTAAATTACATCGTCGAGTTTTTAATTTGTTTTGCTATCAACTCGAGACGGCGTATATCACTGAAAGTGAAAATATATTGACACCGCCAGAATTAAAAGAAACTAGGTACCTAAGCACAAGCAGTTATTGAGAACCAAAAGTTAAGTAACTGTAATATAACAACTTTAAATTTGAATTTTAATTAAAGAATTTGTCTTTTATTTCCTCGCAGGAATTGTAAGTATAAAGCACTATGTATCCCTCGAAAGAAAGTGCTATTTCCAACTCAGTTGGTAATCAGTCACTTTCTCCTATTAGTGAACAATGTACTATTATGCGCGTAATTTTTAACTTTCAAACAATGCATACAACTTTCGTAAAATCTCTTATCTATTAGACAAGTCCGTCCGTCCGTCTGTGGTGCTGTTTCAGCGGCCAAACCGTAAGAGATAGATAAAGAGAATATTTAAGTTATAAGTTAAGAATAGTCTGATAAGACTACAAACCGGATTTGAGTAACGTAGCACTTCCGGTTTTCGAGAAATCAGGTTTTGGTGAACATTTGGTTCACTGGTTTGCTAGTAATGAATATTCGAGCAAATATTTGTTGAAAAATACTTAATGAATATTCTTATTGACTTATTTGCCATGGTAAAACTTGATAGGTTACCAACAAAATTCCGGGTTTCATGGTGTCGCCGACTCGAGAGGTCTCGGGTTCGAATCCCGGTGGGAGCAGATGTTTGTGTGATGAATACGAGCATTTGTACTCCAGCCATGGATGTTTAATATGTATTTCTGTAAAAATAAACTTAAATATGTATAATAATATGTATTCGATCCGTTACCCTAGTATCCGATAACACAAGCTTTACAGTGCTTACTTTGAGGCTAGGCTAATGGGTGTGTATTAAAACAAAATTTTCTACTTGCTGAATTTTGATACTTGGGGAGCTATGAGATAAGTGACATTTGGTCAAACAACTTTTTTTATCGGGCCCGTTGAATTTGAATCTCAAATACTTTTTAATCAAAACCGCCAAAACAGTGTTAAAATTACTAAAATTATAAATTAAAAACCATGCCAAAAGCTCACTGTCGGTATGTGATTCAGTTTTATACAGCTCCTGTAAAATTTAATTTTATGTAATTATACCATTTTGTTCGCCAGCTCCTCATTTATTCTATTCGTTTGAACGATAAGCTTACTTTGAAGTATCAAAATAAATAAGCATTACCGACAAAATTAAATAATTGCTGTAGCTTTATTTGTACCTATGAAAAATTTGATTTATTGTACGGAATTAGGAAGCCGTTTTCTTGCAACAAGTGAAGTAAAATAAAAAAAAAGGTATTTTGTATCTGCTATCACACTAATAAATATAAACACGAAAGTTTGTGAGTGTGTATGTTTGTTACTTCTTCACGATGGAGTAAGCCGACACCCTGGACTAACACATAGGCTACGTTTTACTGCGGGAAAATTTATACATAATAAACCGCGGATAACACCGCGGGGCACAGCTAGTTGACCTATATATATTATAGTACATAATAGTCTTCGAAAGTATATTTTACTTGTATCCCAGATACTTCTTTATTAGCACGAATTTTACTCATTTGTAATAATCTTCCCAAGGTAAGTTAGCCCACTTTAAGAGGTTGTTGGCTCATTAGCATATATAATCACCCACTGGAGTAGCGTCTAAAGAGATAATATTACAAGTAGGGTAACATTATTACCTCAGTGAGGCTAACAGGATTGTAAGTGTAGTACGATAGGCTTCTTAGCTATAATGCCCGTAAGTATGACGCCCCGGCTGCAGTAAGAGCATTACTTACTGATTTATGTGTTTCACTGGGACTAGGTCTCGATTATGCAGGTGGTGTGTGTGACATATTTTACTAGCGAACTGCTTCGGTCGATACTGAGTAGAACCGGCAAGAAACTCTGAGAGAAAGCAAGGGCTGTTTTTTTCTCCCTGTATTATATACAGAGTCGTCAAATTGAAAAAAATACTGATATGAGATAATTCATGAAGTCACTTTTCATTACAAATATATATGACTATACAAAGCTTCGAGCCCAGTATGCCTCTTGAGGTCTTGCCTATTGTAACAATTATAATACCTCTACAATCTACATTATTTGCACGACTGAAATTCTCTAATCTATATTCACATTATAACAGAAAAGACAACAAACTTTCCATAAAAATTCAGAAAAGCATTCAACACGTAAATGTCATACATAATTTAATCAGTTTCTTACTTAATTGTGGTACAACAACCATTAAAGTTGTTCTTATGTTCAACTATTAGCGAAGTTTAGGAAAACTTCAGAACACACCAAAAAAAATCTTTATTTCTTCTTAAAAAAGAATTTTATTTATTCTTTGTAGAAAAAAGTTTCTACACAAAAATTCAGTGATCGGGGTCCTCTGTTAAGCTAAATGGCGTCAGGGGACACCGCTCTTCCGTAAGTTGTTTATTTTAATTTTCTAATTAAACCATATTTAAGAATGTTTATGTAGTCGGTGTATGTGTGTGATTTTTTGATACACATGCACGCAGTGTATCCAAAAATAAAAAAATAAATACTTTGACGACTCCGTAAATAATAATACATGGAGAAAAAAACAAACCCTTGCTGATTTTCCTGCCGGTTCTGATCAGTACAAGGTCTCCCGCCGTAGATTTACGAACCGATGGCGTCATTCTAGTCATCAGTGCTTGTAACAGCCTAAACTGAATAAATGATTTTGATTTATGATTATAATAATACAAAATGATAGGTTTTTCATATTCAGCGTCCTTACCAAACTGACAAAGCTACGTGTAAAAAATGCTACAATACCTAAAATGCTATAAAATTATCCAATTATTATTCATGATGTCATTACGGCAGTAGGTCACATGCTATGCTAATTCATGTTCAGTTAACATAGGCAGCGTCAATTTAGTTGTAAGCTCAAAATGTATCTTTATTCCACAAAAATATGTTTTTTAATCGTGTGCACTTTAGTTTCTATATCAAAAACTCGTACCGTTTACAACGTGCGTGGTTTGCTATATTGTCAGTGTTCGTAGGTTAGCCCAGATAATCCGCAGCATTGTTAGCTATTTTAATGCTTACGTCCTTTGTATGTCCCTGTATTAACTCGTACGCGGATAATCGCCCTATTATCCAAGGTTAATTTTCCATTGGCCTGCGAGGAGATTGGCAGCTGTTTAATGTACCTACCCATAGACAAATCGGCGACATTTCGTATTTTGTAAAGGCGTTTGTATTTAACAATGGTTAGTGTATTGTGTATGAAATCGATATGACGACGATTAAATATAAATTACATGAATACAACTCTACCTATAGCGAGTTGAGATTAAATATCAAACATGTGGCAGTACATAGAAGAGAATGCAATGTTTATATTCGAAAGAAAGTATTTGCTAATTCCACTGCAGACCTCAGAACCATTAAATCGTCTTACAGACACGCATCGTCGAGTGCGACCAATATTTGCGGAATGTTCGACAAAGATGTTTCCGGTCCGTAAAAGTATCATATTAACTGTACAAACAGGGAGGTTTTACGGGCAGCTGGTCGACACGACTAATTACGTCAATTACAAGCAAATAGAACGCTCGGGTTTCGGCTCCCACCTTTGTAAATATTTGCATGTGACGGCCGTCCCCAGCGAACGCTATATGTATAGGTACCACTTTCGATTTAAGCAAAATTGGCGGAAAAAATCATTTTTAAACATAAACTAAAACCTATTTTATAACTTAAAAGTAAAAAAAAGAACCATCTTAAAAAAACTGAAAATGAAAAAATAAGATTTAGCGACTGCTATATTTAAAGTCGTTACCATTATCATCTCCCTTCTAAACACATGGCTTGGTATCGACTTCAAATATATCGGTCGGTAAATCTTATTTTTTCATTTTCAGTTTCTATTTTTTACTAAGAATTATTTTATTTTTTCATTTTTAGTTTCATACGGATTACGCTACTGATAAGAAATTTTACACAGGGGAAACCATGAGATACTGCTAGTATATTATATACTAAAACCTACCCTGATAAATACGCATTTATATACTGAAAACCTCATCCAAATCGGATTGGTACTTTTCGAGGACATCCTTTTTTTGGAGTCTAAGTATTACAAATATTATCCAGTTCATGATTTGGAAGTCAAGCCGAGCCAAAATTCAAACATGGAATAGATTTTCATTTGTAGTCGGTAAACGTGTTTCAATCTTGACCCCGCCCGACTTCCAAATCATGAACCGGCTATTATATTTTTACCTTTTTAGTTCCCGATTTTGAAGTTGGTTTTATTTTTGAAATGAAAACTTCTTTAGCGGCGTTGAACACTTTTTTTGTAATGGGTCAAAAATGTTAAACTCGTTTCAGGACACGTGGTCTAATCGAAAATTCGTAAAACGAAAACAATAAAATTGGAAAGGTTGTTGACTTTTAATATATTGGACGAAACATAGTAATATTTTATTTTATCGTATTATAATAATAAGTCTCTAACTAGGACGTCCAGGTGGCAGCTTTATAGCGAAAAAAATGATTTATTTTACAATAGATGTCGCTAAAATGTGATTCATGTTAGTTGATTTTTCTGAGAGATAAACTTTTTGATGTAATATAAAGGAGAATGGGCAAATCCGCCTAGACTGCGCTTGACGCATTTATGTATCAAAAATCTTCTTCTGTATTATCATTTTATATGTGTGTTTATTATGTAAATATTATGCGGATATTTAAAATAATAAATAAATGGCTATTAAACTGAGTAAATAACCAATAACCATAGATAAAAGTTGTATCACCTGGTCGATACTATCGTAGGAAAAAAAATCGATTATATTTCTTTATTTAAATATTCTTAACATAAAAAAACGAATGTGCTTATGACTACACAACTGAAGTGAAACTTCTTTCATTTACTAGCTGTAAGAGAAAAAGAGAAAGAAAATGCGTGCGCGCGCTCTTGCTCCTACACTGTGATACAGACAATAGGCTTGCACTGTGCTTAGATATACGGAACGTATTTGGCTATGAGAGGAAGAGAGAAAGAAAATGTGCACGCGCACTGCTTTCTCATGCTTACACCCCCCACTCAACTCCCGTTCGCCTCGCCCGATCACACTTTTCTTAACGCTTACGTTCGCTAGCTTACTCCCCAAGTCAAGAGTGCGTAAAGAAGTTTCACTTCAAAAAGAAAAAATAAAACGTTTATCATAATTGAAACATAGAACAATTGTAAATAGCCTGAAACATTTTTACCAAACACCGTAAATGACTACGAAATAATGATCATTCGTTAATTCGTAGTCATTTTTTATTTTGAGGTCTTCGATGCGAGTTGTTTGATTTTTGTATGGATCGATGGATAGATTATTTTCCCCAAATCGCCTATTCAGAGGGCCTGGTTTCGAATTCCGGTGAGGCAAATGTTTGTATGATGGATACGAGCATTTTTACCAATATTATATCATGATAAATAACATTAAATTCATAAAGTTATCATTTGTAAGACCTGTGTTGTGACTATCTCACTGTACCTACCAGGGATTGCTCTCTTTCATTGCATCTAAAAACTAAAAGGAACTTAATGGGCTGCGCAAAAGAGGATTATTTGTCTGCGGACTATTTTGTTCATCAAACAGTAGATCGCATACAAAAACTTTTATATGTGTACTACATATTCACATCTTAGATTAAAAAAGGGAATATATTTTTGTTTAAATTATCAGTTATGTTATATATAATTACTTAATCATATATAAATTAACTCATGGTTTGAACATTTTAAGAATTTGCATTGAAAAATAAAACATTTATTAATCCATTGTGTAGGAATCGATTCCTATAGAATCAAATCGAAATAGCTGTCAACTTGTTTGTTGTTTGTTCCGAGTGACTAACTACATGTACAGTTTTCAATTTTGAATTGAATTTGTGTTTTCAGTGGTCTATTGTGGCAGAATAGTTTTAATGTTGAGTTGAGTAATCCTCCGTTAATAACTGTTTTTTTGGGAAAGAGAGCATTGGACTCGTTGATTTAGTGTTAAGTTACCTTTAGTGATTCTGACAGAGATATTTGGACTCTTAGTTTATTGTAATTATTTTTGTTTACAATGGCATCTGGTGTTACACAAGAAAACGCAGGCAGTATGCAACGACGTTGTATTAACTGTTGTATATCAGTGCCACGACGACAGCCAGTACATTCTTTGGACATGCTATCCAATTCAATGCTTAATGTTTTAAGCTCATGGATCGCATCTGATTCTGTAAGTAATTATTTACTTATATTACTAAAAATATATCGTTATACAATCGCAACCGTGAGATAATGTTTTAATTTCATTCACATGTTCAAATAAATATAAATATTTTTGACTTGTTATAGATATTGAATGGGGGCATAGTGTGCAACGAATGCTTTATGCTACTACAAGCTAGTGACACCACCGAAGAAGTACCTGCACCACAATATGGCCATCAACAAGTCTGTTTTGGTTGTGGAAAATCCATAATAAGAAGTCGATCGTACAGGGTTTCACTACACTGCCCAGAAAGAAATATTATTCTTAGATGGACTCCAGCACATCAGGTATGGTATAAGATATTATTATCAATAATAAATTATTAAAATTGATTTCAATGCTAATTAAAACATGACTGTGACATTATTATTATTTTTGCATTGCATGATTGAAATGTTATATTAATAATAATTTATTTAAATTGATTTCTATACTAACTGAAACATGACTTTGACATTTTTTTTTACATTGCACATTTGTCATGTAGTATATTAATGAAATTGATTATATAATAACTAACTCAATCATGACTATGGTATATAAATAATATATATAGTTTTTAAAGATTGAGTTCTGGATAATACTGCAACTGCCTATAAATATTTGCACGTCGATAAAAGCGACAGGTCATGTTGGTTATATTTTTGAGATCTGTATAATTTACCATATCTTGTCAGATAAATGATTTATTATTATTATTATAAGAAATATATTTCTATTGCATAAAATAGTTGTAGATGGTTTTTCATTAAATTCAAGTTCACTTATCTTTTTTTTATAGGTGTCAAGAATTTCAAGAGTTTGTGCTGCCTGTTGGCAAGCAGCTAATAGGGAAGTGCAAAGGCAACAGTTACATGATGCGAATCGGTCATCAATTGAACAAATTGATGTAGAACCAACAGAGTCTGTACCAGTGATCCCAGTACCACCACCATTTCCCGCTGGTCTATTACCTGTTCAGCCTTCAAGACCTGTTATACCTAAGATACAGTCATCAGTATATAAGCGTGCTGTAGCCACTTCATCAAGTTGTCTGTTTTCAGGATGCCGGGAACAACAATGTTTATTAGTACCCAGAGTAATAAGAGAAATGTTATTAATACATAATAAATTCTATGTTCCCACATGTTGTAGAATATGTCAACATCACTTGAATAATGGGCGTTGGAGTGATTTAACATCAAATCTGCAAGATTTTACTGGTGTACAGTTTGATGCCATTTTGAATATAATGCAGAGAGCAGTTTCCCATTGTTTCGACTATGAAAATATTTCTGCAATGGCTCCTTTCTTATGCCATTATTGGCTGGGAATGAATGCTAAACAGTTTGATGTACTCTTGGCATGTGTACCAAGCTTATTACAGAGTGTCAAAAATCCCCGTTTAGCACTCTGTATTTACATAGTCAAGTTAAGAACTGGGGACAGCAATGAACGATTAAGTTCCCTCTTTCAAATGTCTCATAGGACCTTGGAGAGAAAAATGAATATAGCTAGAAGTTGTTTAGTTGAGGATTTTGTGTCAAGACATTTGGGCTTTGGTGATATAAATGTGGAGCAAGTGGCCAGCAGAAATAAAATAATCCCGGAGGGATTGTTTGGTAATCCAATCTTACCAAATGATATTAAACCCGCTATTGCTATGTGTGACGCAACTTATATATTTGTCCAGAGCAGCAGCAATTATTGTTTTCAAAAAGAATCATATAGTTTACAAAAATCTGATAATTTAGTTAAACCTTTTATGGTTGTGTGTTGTGATGGATATATTATAGATTGTATGGGTCCCTATAAAGCAACCACTAATGATGCTTCAATAACAAGGCATGATTTAATTAATGAAGAAGGAAAACTGCGTTCATTTTTCCAGCAGGATGATGTTTTTATTCTGGATAGGGGGTTTCGGGACGTAATTGAATTTATGGAGGATCTTGGTTTTAAAGCTTACATGCCTGAATCATTATTAGATGGTGAACATCAACTCACTACCCTTCAGGCTAACAAATCTAGATTTGTAACAATGTGTCGCTGGGTGGTTGAAATAGTAAATGGACGTATAAAACAAGATTTTAGATTGTTCAGGCATGTATTTAATAACAGAGCTGCAACTCATTTAAAAGATGATTTAAGAATTGCATATGCTCTGTTAAATAAGTTTCATCCCTTAATACAGGATCCTCCAGAAGCAAGCGAGTATGTAGCTATTGCTCAAAATCGGCTTAATGAGTCCAATCATTTGGCCGAGTTTGTAGAAACTCAAAATCTTAACAGAAGACGGGCAAAGTTTTCTGCAATTGATGGCAATCATCCTCACTTGGAAACCTTTCCTAGTTTAAGCATCACTGATTTAAAACGCTTTGCATTAGGCACTTATCAGTTAAAGCAGGCGCGATCATATTATGGGGAACATATTCGATCGTCTGGGATATATTCCATAGAAATAAATACAGAAATAGATGAAGATGTTCCCCTTGTATTAGGTTTAAACAATTATCTGCTTAGAGGACGTATTAAGTCTAGACACGTTGGTGGACGCACCTATTTTGTTTACATTTTAGTCGGCCGTGACACCAATATAGCCAACTCACTAAGTTGTTTAGTTGGCTATTGCTGCAGTTGTATTGTAGGCAAAAGGACAGTAGGATGTTGCGCACACGTAATGACGGTAGTTTGGTACCTTAGCTGGGGGCGATTTAACGATACACATGCTCCAGCTACATTTTTAGATGAGGTATTTGAAGAAGGTATATAGTTCAATTCTTTTTTAAAAAAAAGGCAATATATAAACCAGGATTAGAGCACGCTTAATGTATAAACTGCTGTATTAATTGAACTTAACAGAGCTTTAACTGGATATTTCAAACTCAACAGGACATGGTGGCGAGTTACAAAAGATATTTTAGGCGAAGTCACTACAGTTCCACTGGATACGGCATAACCCCAAAAATATAAAATAAAAATATCACATTAATAATGTCGATTTGGATAAATGTGTTATCAATAAATGATTATCATTATTAAAATATTTTGTCTTATTTATTTTTGATTCCTAAACCTTAAATAATATTATATCCATTGTTGGGTTAACAGAGCATCAAAGGTGCAGCTTGAGCGTAAAGAGAATAAGTATAAATAGCACTAATATAACCGCACCTCAAAAACGCCACATTTATTGAATCTGAGATGTTTGGAATAAATAGAGATAGATAGCAGCTCACCAACGCAACAGTTTACAAATATACGCTGCCCGTTGATAAGATTTTACGAAGTGCATTCAATTTTTGTTTCACTCCCAGTCCAAAATAGAAGACAAAAGGTCACAACCTAATTAAATACAGTTTAAAGTAGTATACCTAGTAATAATTAAGTATGGTATAAATATCGAATATAATCGAATGTAAATATGACATAACCTTAAAATGCTTACGTAATTTAATATTTTCTTTAAACCACTACTTAAGTTTCTAATGATATTTTTCCTACGCAATATACACCTGATTCCCTATTTTTGTACACTTATTCCAATAAGAGGCAATGAAAAAAACTTAGCCCAACTCCCAAAGTAAAATGACCATTCTCCTTTTCATGTTTGTGTATGTACGATGGCGCAATAAATAAATATTGTATTCTACCACAGAAATGATAGTACTTTTATACTGATAATTAAAGCAATTCGTGCAAAATTATTCCCTAACCATTACAAAATATCAATAATGCACAACGTTAATATTCACTTTTGCCGGCACTCCCGGAGTGCAACCCGTCGTTTTTTTTATTTCATCCATTTTAGTGTAAAGCTCCTACTGTAACGGTGTCGTTACAATCTTCTAATAAATACTGTGTTAAAATTTAAAACACGACATAACAAAAACAATAAATCCTTATTTCTAAAAAGTAATTTAAATCCTAACTAACCTAACAAAAATAAAATCGCGAGAGAGATTACATAGGGCATTGTAGTCCCTTATAATAGGCATAAAGAAACTGGCACTGATCTACTGTGCTGCGAATACTGCTGGTCTTTTCATCAAATGGTTTTTTGATCAGTTACCAATTTTTTTGTAAGATTGATTCGTAAACTGCAAAAGGCGTACAGCATAGCCGGGGGCGCAAATCTCCTGGATAACGAGTCAATTCGTTTCCTATGATGCGCCAGGTACATACTGGCTTTTGGCAATCTCCACAAAGGGTCGGCGTTAACTTGCCGATTGCGTGGGAGGGATTATCCACCGGGTGACGTGGTAGGTGGCTCTGGTGTCGGAAATATACAATCCGGGCTCAAAGTAGGTACTTAAGTTAAGTCGAAGCCAATTCGAAGGATAATTTCATATTTCTTTTTGACGGGCCCCTATTAATTGAACTAGCTCGTACGGGTGCAATCGGAGGATATTATTTTAAATTCAGAATATTTTCGGGCTTAAAAGTCCGTTATAGAAGGATTTTTTGAAATGGACTGAATAGTCATATTCGGGATTGTTACCAACATACCAACCCTGTTTTGTATGAGTCTCTGATAATTCGCGTGGGAAAGAAGAAGTAATACTAACGTGCTTTAATTTGGGATCCATTTTCACTATGGTTAGAACACGCAAATTTGCAATAAAGTCTAACGAATTCCTCAGTTCATGACTTAAAGTTCAAGCATAAATAAATGTCTAATCGTTCGTTTCCAAGACCACTTTTTCCCAGCGCTATTTATGTTTCTCAGGCTTCCAATAGACTCTTTTAATTCAATACGTGTGCTTCCACATAATGCGCTATTTTAACTGGGGGTTGTTTTTTTTTGCTAAATGGCTTCGCACGGCTTGTGCATTTAGCCAATGTCAAGTGTTAAAATGTTTACAAATTTTATAACAGTCGTGGTCAAAGTAAGTGGCAGTCAAGTCAATCTCCCTTTCCCTATGTTTCAGTAAATGTGTGGGGATTTACTGGAACCTCCCCGTGGACTTCTTGAGGGAACGTCGAAAGACACTTTCGGCTATTTTGTTTCACTTGTGCATGTTCCCAAACACTTAGTGGTTAATAATTCACCATTATTAGACACTAACATCCGACACAACACAATTTTTAACAAGAAAAACAAAACTACTAAGTGTGACGCTTTCCGATCCCGCCAAAAAGTCCCTGGGTGGTTTTATCGGACGGTGTTTGTTTTATATCTATATCTAGGTAGGCAAATGACTCTACCCCACCTGATCTATTTTGGACGGTGGGTGACGGAAAGTTGAAAATACAAGTAAATGGAAAGCGTTCCGAAAGCGCTATCATCGGATTTTTACTCTCGTCGATCTTCGAAGCTTCTAATTCGAACGATCCCATAGTGATCAAAGCTAAAAAACACAGATTATCTAATACATCCCAACCTCCAAATTTTACCTCTGTATAGTAGGAAAGGTAAGAGCGAGCAGTGCACAGAGTGTTCCGTACAAACTAAATTTACCTACCAACTGTACAGGTATTTTTTGTTGACTTCAAAGTATTCTGTTTTTCACAGCACAAAAGGATTACTTTGTTTTTAATTTTAACTGAATACTCACACGAGATCCTAATAAAAAGTCTTGGAAGACGCACGGCTGGACAGCGAAGTGATTATATCTCTAAGGTTTCCTTTTCTACTTTTGAGGTAGGTACAGCGGAACCCTACAAATATAAACATCATGCTTACATAGTGATTTCAATTTATACCAATCTACTTTCGGATTTGAGAGGAAGTTTGTTGTCAAGCTCATAAGTTTGCGTTACACAATAATGATGAAGTTTTATTATTCGAGTTTCCATTTAACTTAAGAAATGAAAGGTAATTAAAAAGTAAGTAAGTTAAGTAAGACAGATTACATCATCGACATATGATCAAATTTTGTTCAATTACTAAATAGAATTAAAAAGAAAATCTACAAAACAAGAATAAATTTCTTAAGCTTTTATTGTTTAAGCATTTAACTGCTAGATGTTTAAATCTAAAGAAAAGTTTACTAGAAATAATTTCACGCAGACCAGGCAGCAAACGGCACAGGTCCCATCGTAACGTATAAGTAACCTCCTTTGTTGCCACGTTTCAGTAAAACATCGTTCCATTTTTAAATTACACGAGAGATATGAGTTTACTATGAAATTTATTTGGCCGCTAAACACAACAGATAAGGATTTTTATACAACTTTTGCCGGCCGTTGCTCGCATGTATTTGGCCAGTACAGCAATTTCGATTTATCTCGACGAAGGTTGTCAAAAATGCTCACATTTCCAAGCATGTTTGAGAAAACAAAGCTTACTTACTATAGGGAGGGACGGAGAATATGACTCTACCGGAGCATCATCGTGTCCTGTCGTGCCGCGTCGTATTGTCATATCCAATAAACCTGGAGGCGGGGCGGCGGACGACGCCACGCCCTCTGCCGCCGCCCCACACACTCGCGCGGCACTGCGGCGCGCGGCGCGGCTACTCGCTAAGAAGATTTACTCGCAATCGCATCACGCGCTAACCCGCGCCCTCGGATAAACTGTATTCTTCTTCTTTCTTTCAACCTTTATCTGCCCACTGCTGGGTATAAGGTCTCGGATAAACTAATTAACCGTTCTAATTAAAAAATCAATTGCAAACTTTATTTTAAATTACATAAGTAACTAAATTACAGATATATAGGTATTGTATTGTTAAATTCTGGATAAAAAGTGTTTGTGATGTGGTGTATGGACTGTGGGGTCCGGTGAGGGTCGAGCGGGAAGAGTGGCGCAGCCCGAGGGCATGGGCGGGTCGGGCGGCGGGTGGCGTGGTGAGGCGCCGGCGCTGCTGAGCACGGCGCTGCTGCTGGGCGGCACGCTGCCGCAGCGGCCGCCGGCGCCGCTCTTCACCATCGACAGCATCCTGGCGCCGCGCCCGCAGCCGCCGGTGCCGCCGCTGCAGCTGCACCTCGCCCATTCACACTTCAGGCCACCCGAATTGTTCGGTATGTCCGCTAAGATGTTCATGATGGGTGAGATATTCCATTGGTTACTGCATGTTTTATTATTTACTTATTTATTTAACTCAGGTAACAAACAGTCTTATTTACAAACAACAATTTTACAATTTATGTTTACAAATAGACCTAAAGTACCATTAATTGATATAAAATTATTATATTAACGGACGGACGAAACGACGAACAGATAAAAGTGACGGATATCTGTAAACAGATTATATACCTACATCGCCGCCGCACACGTTATACTATTTAAACACTAATTCGCTCACTTTCCTTTTGAAATTGTAAAGTGATTCACTGCAAATATCTGCTTTATTCAAATACTTATTGTTAAAATTACATGTCCGTCTAAAAAAGGTTTCTCTAGCATAGTTGGTATGGCAACTTGAAACATAAAAGGTATCCTTTGAAAGTGAGGGGAAACGAGGAACTTTGAGCACAATACTCTGCACAAGTTGAGCTGAATTATCTAGAGTGTACCAATAAACAGCCAAATATAGAGATCATCAACTTTTTAAGTTTGATTTAAGTTAGTACTGACCCTTTCTCAGCGATAACAACAGAATAACACGATATATCACTTAGAACGACATTTAACATTTGACGTCTCTGAATACGGCTGAAAGTGGAACAGTCTTTTTCCTAATCTTACAAAAAAGTATTTAAAAAAAATACTTTTTACACTCCCCAAATACATTGAGCCCTAAAAGAAATGCAGGAGCATCCAAAGTTAGTGTTATTTTCATGTGGCCTTTTGTAAGGTGGAGTTTACTACGCAGACGGGCAGTAGATTTCTAATTATGGTCCGGATAACATACTGGTTATTTTATAAAAACCAAATTCTTTATGGTGGATATTACATCACTAAAAGTAGGAATCAAGCACGAGATTGTCAAATAGGACATTACTGACTTACATCCCTATCCTAACTCCTAGATATAACATAGTACAAATTCAAAAGTGAGTTTGTTGGTTATATTCGCTTTCACACATTAAATCACTGAAGTGGCTATGCTGATATTTGGTTTATGAGTGTAATTAATGAGAATAATTTAAAGGCTACATTTTATCAAAAAAAAATTAAATTTGAGGGGTTTAATATGGAGGAAAGATCTTTAATTTTTAAATACTTTAAAACCAAGTCGTGCTAATTATGACATTTACAATTATTTATCTCAAGAACGACTGGACCAACTTTTGTGAGATCTGATTTTTTGGATTCTTCTCCGCCCCGAATAGCAGCAATCAGAATAACTGTCAAAATATTGAAAAAAATCACAGAAAAAGTTATGTAGAAAATAAATTTTCAATAAATAAATTAGGTTTGATATTCTGCCCTCATCCACAATTGACAGCTCACGTCGCGCACGCACAAAGCTAAAGGCCGAAACAGAGTTTTAAAATGCGACGCCACCCGACGCTAATCGGCGCATGTTGAGTCAAATCAAACGACTTATTATTTTCTATGATCAGAATCACATTAGGAACATCCGACGCGACGCGATGCGCACACACTGATCATAGAAATTACGCATCGCGTGGCGTCGCATTTCAAAAGTTTGTTTAGGTCATTATTTGTACTATAAATCAGTTACTATATTAAAGATATTTTAAAATAGAAATGGAAAGGTAAAAATGTGGGAAAAAAGCCTACTCAATAGATATGATCACCATAGAGAGTGATACCTATTGTAATTAAAAAAAAAATACTCATATGTATGTATAATTCTAAAACATGTTGCAACACTAATTGCCGATATTTTGGTAAGAAGCCGATGGATATTTACTTAGAAGTGACGTCAGGAGCTCCCCCCCCCCCCCACACACACAAACAAACTTTGACGCGTTTTACCTTTGTTGTTTTTTAAGTTGATTGGTAAAAGAAAAAAAATAGGTCAGTGCATCCGCCCGGATAGCTTAGGGTGCGGGTTCGAGTCCCGTTTGCTGCCTGGCCGCGTGGAATATTTTCTAGTAGAAAACTTCATACTTAAAATATAAGAAATAATAAGTGTTCTTTAATTTTTGGTATACATATTAAAATTCAATACAAATTCATTACAAAACTAATCAGACGTTTGACTATAACGAATCTGAATTCCAAATTGATTACTACTTTTAAGTGTTCTAATCGTGTGTTACTACATTCATACATTAAAGGAAGAAAAACTTGAAGCTGTATTGATCAGTTTTAAAAGAAAACTATCATGTTTCTGAAAACAACATTAGTTTTACTACCAACAACAATATTAAATAGAAACTTTGTTCCTCCCTTCAGAAATAAAATAATTTTAAAAAACGATGCAATGCAATGTAGAAAGTCCGTATTGAAATTAATTTTTATTGCTCTAGCCGTCACTTAAGTTAGATTTTTCATTTGCCTTGAAGTAACACAAATTGTACATGTTGAACCAGAAGGTGTATCCGTTTATAAGTATAAGATAGACGGCATATTAGCTTCAGTGCTACTTTACCATCTAATCTCTAATTGTCAGAAAGAGTTCGTGCTTCACTGTCTCCTTCTTTATTAATCGAGGATGACCCCAAGGGAAAAATTGGTTCTTTATTTCATCCACAACAGCTGTACTGTTTTCAGGAGTTTTTTGCAAGCTTCTGTTGATATAGACTGACAAAAGTGGACTGACAAAGTTTAAAAAATAAGAATACATTTTTAAAAAAGAACAACATTTTTTTATTGTTATAGTAAGTTTACCGAACTTGGAAGAGGTAATACTTGCCTTCACGCTGTATACTTCTTTTGAGAAACGCGGAAGACCTTGTGTCACAAATACCTGGCAACCACTTAACCCCGTTTTGAATTTCGCTGATACGCCATCGTACAATTTTTACTTAGAAGTGACGTCAGGAGCTCCCCCCCTGCCCCCCAGGGGCATAAACTTTGACGCGTTTTACCTTTGTTATTTTTTAAGTTGATTGGTAAAAGAGAAGTGGACTGACGAAGTTAAAAAATAAGAATACATTTTTAAAAAAGAACAACATTTTTTTATTTGGATTCAGAATATCTAGTAACTTTACCGAATTCGGAAGAGGTAATACTTGCCTTCACGCTGTCTACTTCTTTTGCAAAACGCGGAAGACCCTGTGTCACCCAAGGGGACTCGTCAAAATCAACTTGAAAAAATATACACTAATTAATGAATATGGCTTTGAACACCTCTAAATGCCTTTATTTAGGGATTACTTTCCATAGGTGAAGGAATAGAAGCAAAACTCGTAGAGGCACTACTAAGGCTTGTCGATAGTGACACAATGTCTCTATATTTGAATGTCATAGATAACGCAAGCCACAACGAAATGCTAATAGATCAAGAGGCATTTATTAGATTATTAATAAACGAAGAATAAGGTTATACTAGTTACGCCGTCTTTTGTTCATGTCACTCTAATGTCATTTGTTATTCAATGAACAGAGACAAAACATGGAGTAACTAATCCAAGCTTATTCTTCGTTTATTAATAAGGGGGTTTGTGTTTTCATTGATTTAGATTTAACGCGAGCAAAATTATGTACGGTCGCGGTCAGAAAATGTTTACGACCTTAAGGATCATAATTGCATGCACACATTTAGGTCACAACTTCTAAATAATTTGATTGACCATAGATTATCGTTTTTGTAATGATATGTTAATCGCTCTAGCTAGGTGGACCTTTTTTTTTGTCTGGGAAATGCTTTACGCATCCTTTAACCACCGGGGGAGCGAGAAGAAGGTATGTGGGACTCCTCCCTGCTCATTTCAGCCAGCCCTTAGGCTGGGTGAAATGAGCAGGGCCCTACCTAACGCTCTGAACAGGGCCACTAAAAACCAGACAATACTCCTGCACCGGTCACCCGGCGTACATTCTGAGGACCGCAGTCCCCCAATGCATGCCGGGAGTGCGGGTGTGGTCGCGGCAACTGTTGCCGACTGTCCGCGCACCCGCAAGGTGATTGTCCGCGAACGGACCCACCCCAATGAAGGTGCCCCGGAGTATCAGGGGCACCAGCATCAAGAGAGCTTGTGCAAATGCGGGCCGGTCCCCCCCCCCCCCCCCCCCCCCCCAGGGCAGACCCGCGGTTCTTACAGGAGTGGGAGGGAGAGCGTAGTTCTCTCCGTCCCTCTCCCGCCCCCCTTGGCCCTAAGAAGGGCCTTTTGAGCATCTACCACCAATCGGAATGATCAAACTCACTGTGGAGTGATGCTCATACCCTGGTCCTGAAAAGGACCATTGAACGGTGTTCAGCACTCGAAGTGCTGACCATCCCAGGGTCCCTACGTGACCCAGTCCCTCCCTTGCCCTTATGCGGGCTATCCCCTTTGTCAGGGTGGCAGAAGATGCGCCAGTGTGCGCCTGCATCTCCTGCCTCTCCTCCCCCTCGCCCTTCTGTTGCGAAGAGAGCCCGCGAGGGCTTGCACCTCGGGGACTCTCTCCACAGCCTCCAGCTAGGAGATGGAACTACTACTATCAAGGATTGATATATATTTTTTTAGGCGTAGTAGTCTTTCTCGCATTGATGCAACAAGATGCGCGTATAGATCGGTCCCTCTAATAACATCCCATACTCGAGCACAGTGTCATCTAAGATCATGAGGGTTCCTTTCATTTTGACAGTCCCAGCATTGGACCATAAGCCCCCATAAGTTTTCAATAGGGTTTAAATCAGCAGACCGAGCGGGCCATTGAATAGGAATGGGACGAATGTCACGGTGCAGGTTGAACCACGCCATAGTAGCACGGGTCGTGTGTATTCGTGCATTATCTTGAACATAAGTAATGGCCGGGAACTCTGTTGCAGGATACACTACGTGCACAGTAGGCAGCATCACTTCTGCCAAAAGCGACACATAATTAATGGCAGTAGCCCTATTCTCTAACGACGCCAGTTCTCCGACGCCGTCGAGGCTCATCCACCCCATAAGTTTACTGTTATGCGACCTGACTCGTTTTGAGGCACGATATAAGCTTCATCATACCAAGTTCGATTATAGCGCTATAACGTTAATCTTCCGAT